GGGTAAGTGAGAGAACGATTTGTGGATGACTTTCTATTTCTCTAACATCCACCACTCTTCAACAGACTTTTTAATCACATCGAGTTGGCCAGCAATCTAAATCCCAACTGCGCCTACTACTTCTTTAAGGAGGGCATCCGCCCGATGTGGGAGGACTCGACGAACAAGGCCGGCGGCCGCTGGGTGATCAACTGCATGAAGAAGAACTTCAAGGCAATTGACAACTACTGGATGGAGCTGGTAAGATTCAGTATACACAGATCGGACTTTCTTCAGAGCTAATCACCGTCCCTTCCTTCTTCTCCCTCTTTTCAGCTGTTGGCGCTGATCGGCGAAGCCTTCGGCGAGTACAACGACTACGTCTGCGGCGCCTTCTGCGTCATCAAGCAGAAGAACGACCGTATCGGCGTGTGGACCAAGCAGGCGAATGATCGCGACTCGAACATGCACATCGGGTATGAATGTGTCATCGGTTGTTGTTTTCACAATTAAACTTACACTTTTTCCCCTTTCATTTGCAGACGCGTCATCAAACAACGCCTCAACTACCAGGGCAACGTCAGCTACGAGGCACATGACACCTCGAGGAGTAAAACGAGCTACCAGGTCTAGTGTGGTAGTGTTCTGGTGGTGATGATGATTTGGTGGTAGTCTGTGCGGACGGCTGCAGCTGTAGCTGGCTAGTCCTCCTCATAGGTAGGCTTTTCTTTTTCCTTTCCCTTTTTCTTCTCCCTCTCCTCTTCTTCACGTCGTCTTTTACCACACACTTCTGATAACATGTTTTCCCCCTTTGCTGTGGAATATTCTTCTTATGCTTATATTATTCTTCTTATCACTTATTTCCCCCCTTTTCACACACTTCTATTTATCGCTCATGTAAACACACACTTATTCTCTCTTCTTTGTAATTTGTATGTAATGCTCTAAACGTGCAAGAGGGTACTTTCTCTCTCTTTGAATATTCTACTACCCTGTAAACATGGTCAAATAAACCACCACAACAGTCTTTTTTACCAGTCAAATGTCGTTTACTTTAAAAAGAACGAAAAGAGAATGGAATTGCTGTCATTTCATAATTACAGGACTGGGCAGTCTATTTATAAACACGTGAGAGAAAAAAAGAGAGGATGGCTATCATCATCGGTATCATCACAGGTGAGAGAGAAGGAAGAGCTGATGCGGATGCGACAAACACGATGTTTTCGAAGAGAGGAGAAGAGCACCTCGCGACCTACTTTTACACTAGCGCTGAAGAAAAAGTCCGCAGAAGAAGAAGAAGACGAAGACTTTTTCGGCGGCGATGGTGAAAGTGACCACCACCACCACCACCAAAAGTTGAAGATATCACCTCAGTCACAGATCAAACCACATATCAAACAATTAATTCTCAGAAAAAAAACTTTAAAAATGTCGCTTCTACTTCTTCTCCTTCTTCTTCTGGGCCTTCTCTTCACCGCCCTTCTGGCCGCCGTGAAGCTGTACTTTAGCCTGACTAAAGGCGTCTTTCAAAGCTCGGATTACGACCTGACCGGGAAGGTCATCCTCCTCACCGGGGGCAACACCGGCATCGGCGAGGCGTACGTGCGGGAGGTGGCCCGCCGGGGGGCCACGGTCATCATGGCCGTGCGCAATGTCGCCCGAGGAGAGGCGGTGGCGGCCAAGGTGAGGGCGGAAACCGGAAACGGAAACGACCGCCTGCACGTCCTCCACTGCGACCTAGGTGAGCTGGCCAGCGTCCGGCGATGCGCCGAACGGATTAGAAACCCAAAGAAAAGCGGAGACCACTTCTCAGCGCCTCTTCGAATCGACGTCTTTGCCGTCTTCGCCGCAGCAGTCGGCGAGAACAGTGCAGAAGGTGCGAAAGCCCGGCTCACCCCCGCCCCCGACCGGCTGGAAGTTCAATTTCAGGTCAANCAGCGCCTCTTCGAATCGACGTCTTTGCCGTCTTCGCCGCAGCAGTCGGCGAGAACAGTGCAGAAGGTGCGAAAGCCCGGCTCACCCCCGCCCCCGACCGGCTGGAAGTTCAATTTCAGGTCAACTACCTGGGGCACTTTCTCCTCCTGGCCCTCCTCTTTGACCTTCTGAGCCCTCACTGTCGGGTGGTGGTCACCAGCA